ACCATGACCCATTTATCCCTAATTAATACCCATGCATAGCCATGCATAGGGATGGGTGGGGGTAATATGCTTCTTTTGCCTCACATGACTACTTTAGCCCTGTTTATCCCACTTTGAAGGGGCTAATGGAAAAGGGGTGGGTTAAAGTTTATTAGCCTCCACTTTTAGCCCTCATGTTTGATCCATGAGAGCTAAAAGATGACTAAAAGAAGTGAACTAAACTTTAGCCCATGGATCCAGATAGAGCCTAACAACCAGGTCCCCCATTCTCAATGGATCTCTGAACTCACGAGATAAGATGTAAGGGCTAGATCGCCTGCCTAGCACGCAACAGAGAAAGGTCTAAATGATGAGGCCGATTCAATGCTCATTTCTCTTTGATAAACCCACGTCAGGGATACACACGGCAAGGCTATCCTAGGATTAGTAAGACTACCTAGAACATCGGCAAATCTGGTTGAGAAGTGGAAGACAACAAGGGTTTAGAAGAGATAGGTTTAGATGTAAAAGTAAACATAGATTGATTTGATACCTCAATGGCTCAATCGGTTTACAATAACGGGCTGCCTAAGACGATCACCTCAATTAATTGTTGATTTTCAGAGGTAGATGTCTTAGGATGCCTACCTCTGTGAATGATTTTCTGAGGCAGACATTTACCTGGAGGTGGACTCTTGATGCGCCCGCCTCTATTAATCAGAGAGGTTGTTGGGTGCCTATCTCTGTAAACGTTTGTCTCTTAAATCGTTTCTGTGGTAGTTTGTTGGGTGTCACGCTTTCACTATCTAGAGCATTGGTTATTAGTTGGTTACTATTTATATGCGATCTGAATTTTTTTACTATGGTTGGGGGGAATTTAGATGGCTCGCGACGAGCGAACCGATGGCTAAAATGGCAATGGCGGTGCGCACGAGATGCCTACTAAATGGTGGGCCTATAGGCACCATATGCCTACAAATTTGAGGGGATCAACACCCAAAAAAGGTGTGATAATTCCTTTATCAAATTTTTATGTAATCAAGGGTAAAATGCTAATTTTGTAATTGTAAAAATAATATTTTGAGTAATATAGTTGGGGTGGGTGATTGAAGTACTATTGTTAGATGAATATTTTCTAACCATACAAGTTCGTTCGAGCTCCAGCACTCGACTCTCATGGCGACAACACACGACTCTAGGGTTTCAAGCCCCATCTGCGTGCTGCCGTCCTCCACCATCCTCTAGGCACCGTCTCCGACGCCATCCACCGAGGGTAGGGCAAGAACACGGGCAAGGCGGCGGCGGTTGCGGCAGTGTGCGAGGACGAGGGCGATGTGGAGGGACCACGTAGATCCGATGATCCCCTCCTCCCCTTCCACCACCTATCATTGTCGTGCCTGTATCTGGTGAGCTGCTTGTGGACTTCTTGCGAACACAAGGTTGATATGTGCCCTTGTGGTTCAGTTGTGATGAGTGATTGTCAACGTGACTTGCGTCTTGGGTTGAGTCGGTGAACTAACCATGGCATGAGCTGGGGTTGTACAACATGTCTCTTGGCTTGTGGTGCGCAGGTGTGGAGGTTGGAGGCGGTGGTCGACAACGAGGTGAAGGTCAAGTAGAGACGTGCTGTGCCGATGGACTGGGAGCGGTGAAGGACGGACGTGAGGCTTGGACCGAGGGACCAAGAGGTCGGATGACCAGCCGCGGTGGCTGACACTTGGGTCATCGACAAGTGCAAAAGTACATAGATGATGAAGACGGCGTCGACAAAGTCAAGGAGGAGGACGATGGCGTCGTGGCACTTGGCGGAGGTCGGACACGCATCTACATGGGAGATGTAGATGGCGTTGGTCAAGTCAAGAAGGAAGACGAAGGCATCAAGGTTGGCGGAGGTCGGACACGCGTCGACATCGGAGGGGTTTGGTGGTTTCGGCCTCAAAACCATCGGAGGGTTTTGGTGGTTTCGGCGTCAAAAGCATCGGAGGACGGTTTGTTGGTTTGGACCTCAAAACCAGGTGTGAACGGTTTGATGGTTTGGGCCTCAAAACCATCGATGGCGGGTTTGATCGGTTTGGGTCTCAAAACCGAGGAGTGGCGAATCGACGGACACGTGGTGGCATCTCGAAGCTTGCGTTGAGGCGAAGCGATGTCGAGAAGGTGCCGGGTCCATTGGATCAATGTAGAAAAACTTGAACGGATTTACCCCTAACGGGTATTTGGGATGAGTACTTTATGTGAGGACGTTTTTGTCTTTTGACGGACGTCTGTATATATATATATATATGTGAAGGCACTAGTTGGCCAGCCATCCTTGAAGGGTCACTTTCATTTGTGTGGTGCTAAGAGGAGGCTAAGGTTAGAGAGAGGAGTGACTCTTGTTTTTGAGCTTTTTGACATCGTAGCTTGTTTTGTTTGGAGTAGCTTGTAAAGGAATATCTTGAGCTCATCCAAAGATCAAATTCGTGCTCCGGTTGTTCTCTTTCCAAACGTGAAGTTATCCTTTTTGTGTGATTTTTAGAGCTATTTTTGGGATTTTTCGTTTCCTTGATTTGAGGCCATATCGACCCGTTCTTTTTGCGTTGATTCGTGCTATGACATGAGTTAAAGCTATCTTAAGAGTTAATTGGACTAAATCGACTCAAGCACGGACAAATCAACGATTTTTGTTTTTTGGGATTTTTCGTGTTCTGGGCTCGATCTGAAATTTCTCGGAGATTACGTAGAAATTGGGCGATGATTCTTTCGGGATAGCTCACTAACTCCTTTGTGATCCTCTGTGCAAAGTTTGGGAATGAATCATGGAGTTTTGAGTTGTATTTCGTCGGGGTTTTTTTTGGCCGCCCCTTTTCTGTTCGTTCGCTCAGTCCTCTGCTCGTTGCTGTTCATCGCGTGCAAGCAGAGCGGGGAAGCGGACCCAGGCTGCAGCGCCACCAGCGCCGGTGCACAAGCACCGTGCGTGCTCAGGTGAGCGGCGCTCGCCCCTGGGGCCTTAGCGCCCCCGTCCGCTCCAGCGCTTGGCGCTCTCAGGCCAAGCCACGGTCGGTCCTAAGCCCAGGTGCCGTGCTTCCTTTCTCTTCGTTTTCCAGTGCTTCGGTCTTGGCTTCAAGGTGACCGACGTGATGTTCGTGTTGCGCTGCTAATTTCCATCGGTGTGGTTTGGAGTGGTGCAGAGCAGCCCCTGCCTGATCTCCGGTGTTCGTCGTTTTTTCGGCGCTTGCAGACCAGCGCCGAGCGCCTTGCCTCTCTCCGTTCTGTGCGCGCTTGACTGGTGCTGCTCACCAGCACCCTGGCTTGGTGACGCCTAGCAGCTTGGCTGCTGTTCGTGTGACAGGAGACAGGAGCAGATCGATCAGCAGAGCAGCAGCAGCGCTTGCATTTTCCCTTTGCAGATCGACTACAATATGCAGGTCCTGTCCAGCAGCAAGTGCTTTGCTTGTTTGCGCGTGTTTAGTGCCTGTTTACTTTCTAAAATTTTGCAAAATTTTTTAAGATTTCCTGTCACATTAAATCTTTGGATACATGCATGAAGTATTAAATATAAATGCTCTTTTAGGTTTAGTCTCAATTCTTATACGAGTGATTTTGTGTTGTTAGACTATGATTGTTTTAATTGCTAAATAACAACGAAAGTGCTACATACCATTTCCTAAAAAATTTCTCCAACTAAACAATGCATTAGTTCCCACCCTAAATTCCCAAAAAGTGCTACAGTAGATGGCCATCACATCGAATCTTGCGATATGTGCATGGGGCATTAAATGTAGACGAAAAAAAACTAATTACACAGTTTGATTGGAAATCGCGAGACGAACGTTTTGAGCCTAATTAGTCCATAATTGAACACTAATTACCAAATAAAAACGAAAGTGCTACGGTAACCAAGTTCTAATTTCTCCAAACTAAACACGCGCTTTGTGATTTTTGGTTTTCCAATTCTTGAGGTGTCACATCCAAGCTACATAGCCTAATTATTGCTTGCTCTTTTAGCTAGTCTCATTCTTTATACGAGTGATTTTTGGTGCTGTGCTGCTACCTGTTTTACCAGGTGAATTTCCGGTCCAAAGTTGCTTGATTTTCCGGCTCAAATTTCCAGCTCACTATTTCATCTGTGGTTTGCACGTTTGAGCTCTGATTCGTGTTCTGTCTTTTGCGTTAGCTTTGTGGTATTCCGTTGTGTTTTTAGAGAACGTCCATCCATTCATCTGAGTCATGGATATCACGGTGTTTGGTTTATATGTTTGGCGGTGATTTTGGGACAGCGACCAAATATTTCACGAGAAATTTTACTGCTCCCATTCATCCCCATCCGGTCGTTGTTTTCGGTCCTTCACTTCTGCTTCGCCTTTTTGCTGCCTCCAGTCCCGTTGCTTGCACTATTTCATGCTTTCGAGTTCTTCATACACGCATTAATTTGGTTGCACTTGTTTTGTTTTAAATTTATGCTTGAATCATCCAAAACCATCCGAAATTTACTGTGCTACCTACCAGCCGAACACAACCATAATTTTTTGGTGCTATATATGAAATCAGAACCTTTTAATATTTTGTTTGAAACAAATCAGATAGTAGAGCTACTGATTATATATTAAAAAGAAGAAAGCCTAAAGTGAACACAACGATACAACAGCGACCAACGATCACGTCGAAAAACAAACTCAACAAATGAAATAAAATCAGAACCTTTTAATTGCGAGTTCGTTTTACCGCTGTTTATAGTGGAGGTAAAAGGTGGATGCTTTCTGCTTCTTGTCCATGCTAAAGTTGAGGTTTACCGCTCCTAACTTGTAAGCACAACAACTTCCTTCAAATCGGTTGCTTTTCATTGGACATCCTACTTAGTATCTTCCTATGAGATGTGTCTGTGTTCTTTATTTTGGTTCTTTGACCAGGTGCAAAATTTCGAGTTCTTGCTGCTTTTTTTCTTCTTTTCTTCACGAAACTTTTTACAATGAAATAATTTAGCGGTTGCTCTGCTCTTCCTTTCTCAGAATGAGAGGCGACGGTTGTTATTTAGCGCGAAATCAGCAGCAATTTGGCGCGAACCCAACACGCTGGCCATCGACGTCGTACACGACGCAGAACCCCTGCAGCTGGATGTTGCCGATGATGGAGACACCACGGTCGCCGCTGCCGGCGAACGCGAAGCACATGGTGCCCTTGGAGTCCACGGGGATGAGGTAGTTCTGGGGCGGGAGCTTCACCTCGACGCCGCCGGCGAAGTGCATCGACACAGCAGGTAACTTCACGCGTCCGCGGACGCTGCTATAGCACGTATCGAAGAAGCCGAAGGGGCCGCCGGGGGAGGGCCAGCCGAGGTCCTTCACAGCCGCCACGCGGAAGGCGTCGCGGAACGCGGTGTATGCGGGGTCGGCGAGGCGGGTCATTGCGGTGCCGGAGTCTACGATGACGCCGCCGTGGCCCGTGGACGGGTCAAGGCGGAGGTCAGATTCGGTGACGCCCGGCACACGCACGCCGCCCACGCTGATGCCAACGAGACGCACGTAGTAGAACGTATACATGCGCGGGTTGGTCAACATGGGGGTGAACGACGCCGGCGGGGTGGTGACCGTGGCGCCCGAGCCGAAGGTTAGGGCAGAGGAGGAGTGGGGGCGTACGCTGGCCAGGCAGTAGGAGAAGCTCCGGCCGTAGCGGCCGGCGATCTGGCTCGGGAACGACAAGCTCCCTCTGCCGAGGCCCAGGATCCCCTCCACCGGCGCTGGGAACAGACCCTGGTTGTCGGAGCCGCACCCGATCGCCACGTCCGGTACGCGGACGCCCGGCGCGAAGGTCAGCGTCTCGATGCCGAAATCGCCCGCCGTCGAGGAGCCGTCGCCGTACTCGGCCTTGTACTGGCACTCGTTGAGGAACTGGATGCAGCCGCCGGAGCTCCCCAGCGCGCGGCAGGCCGGCGCGTAGCAGCCGACATCACTCGCCGAACTTGAGTTCAATCGGTTGTACACGGGGCCCGACTGGTGGTAGCACCGGAAGCACGGCATGCACTGTATCCACGTGACGTCGCTGCCCATGTCCGGCGCCAGGAGCGCCTCGAAGCTTGAGTCGTTTTCGTACGGTGTGCCGACCGTGATCTTGGCTATGTACTCCCCGCTTGTCGGCGCCCCGGTCACCACCGTACCGTTTTCCGGGTCCGAGGGTGTGGCCGCCTTCGTGATGATCCACGCTGCCCTTCGCTCGTCCCGCTGCAGGCGGCGCGCGAGGAGGTCAGCTGCGCTGGCATTCACCGCGAACGAGTCGCGGTGGACCAGGTGGACCTGCAGAGCCGACGGCGATGACACGGCGGCATCTTCCAACGCGTCGGCGGCGGTGGCCGGGGCAGTGTAGGCGTGGGGCGCGAGAGGGGATGCTACAAAACTATGGTACTCGTACTCGACGGGCTTGGCGAGCCCGACGACGACGATCGCGTCGTCGGAGCACGCGACCAGCAGCAGGAGCAGTCCAGCGAGAGACGACCACGCCATGGCTGGAGTCGTCGCTTGCTTCGATCAGAACAAGTGGTGAGTGACCTGGAGTGATGCCATGGCTGCAGGGCCGGCGTTGTGTTTAATTATATGTGTGATGTGAGAAGGGAGCGAGGAGATTAATGAGACTGCATCTGCTGAGTTGGTGCCTAATTGCAGTGCGATCCAGCAAGATACGCCAGCGGCTACAGCTACAACAGGAAGCAAGAGCAGTTAAACTTGCTTAGCTTTAACATCTAACAACAATATAAATATGTTCTTAGATACACTGAGATAAATATTTAATACTGCATTTCTTGATACCATATCTGTTGATATATTTTTTAAACTTAGTCAAAAGTTAACAAGTTTGACATAAAAAAAACTCTATATCTATATCTATACCTAATATAAACAAGCAAAATTTCTCTATCTTTATTTTTCATCCACCTCCCCTTAGCTAGTTGAGCAATGAAGAGTGGCGAGTTTGTTCCATACCACTTTATTATTTCCTAAACTGCACTCATGTCCTACGTAGGTTGTATGTGACTTTATGAGTTAGAACAACTTACATTTCACGATGATAAATATGAAATCCGATTACTATATATATTGAATTCCTTTACAACGCACTAGCAGGTCTACTATTGTTAAATTTTCATCCAGTGCAGTCACCAACATTCCTCCGAGTCTTTTCCGTTCGTCTCCGGTTCGTGGTGTTCGGTATGTCGGTTAAAGTGCCGCCGGTAATGTGACTTTTCCATCCATACCACTATTCCGTGACTTTATTTTTTTTCTTCCTTAGTATCTCCATTTGTTTTATCTTATAGATAAAAGGAATAGATATCAAAACAACTTTTAAGTCTTTATTAGAACCTTGACCCTTAGCTAATAATAAACAAATATTTCTTACCACTAAGTTATTGTTGTAGTGGTAATTAGAAAGAAAACTAATTATAATTATTGGAAAGTGATCAGCTGATGGTCCACCTAATCAACCATGAACTGAAATTTTAAGTAGTTTGCTATCTAATCTAATTAAAATAAATATATAGCTAAATTGTCCATATATATACATATCAGTGCAACCTATGACAAGGGCTGCTATGTGAAAATCGAGAGAGATCTCGATGTTGCTGACTTTAATCAAATATTAGTATTACATAACTTTTATGGGTCCTTAAGTCACCAGGGCATATCTAACTCTACCACATGAGTACTATGAAAACTAAAGTAATGAGATATATTTATGTGCCTTACAACAGAAGAAAAAAATCTATAAATATTGTATTTTTATTTGATACCGAGCATATTATTGCCAATATTAAATTATATTATAGATGCAATGGTCACCATAATATAAATTGTAACTTTAAAATTTTATAGAAAAATAAAAAACAGATACACAAATTGTAGTAGACTCACTCGCTTGTGATTGCTGCAGCAGCTAACCACCACTCACAACAGCAATTGTAGCACCTATACAAATGAAGCCGCTGACAACTGCTCTAGCTTTGTAGCAAGATGAAGCAAATATGTCAGAACGTTTAATAGCTTTTTTTTTTCTCCCGCTGCAATCCATCATCTCCCACCTCACAACTACTTTTGGTCACTTCCAAAGAAATCGCGGTCACAAACTGATACGGCGCGGGGGACATCTCGCTTTGCGATTAGCGAGTCGCTCGCCCTAGTGCCACCGCCGCCGCCATCGCTCCGCATCCACCACCATTGGTTCCCCTCCATTCCCCCTTCGGCATCTCGCCAGAGGTCGGAGGGAGTGGGGATCCATCGTTTTTTCTAAGTTTTCTAGTAGATCGAGTCATCTAGGGTTAGAGTTTCTCCATGCCAAGTTTCTTGGTATTGGTGATTCGTTTTCTCCGTGGCGGCTTTGTTGAAGATGAAGGCGACAATAGCGTCAGCAGCTTCATCGGCTTGCCGACATGGAGATAGGCTTTCCGGATGGCGACATCAAGGCGGAGATGATGTCGTCGTCATGGAATAATTTTCTCCGGTCTCTTCTCCGTTTTGTTGTGGTTAGATCTGACCACAATGAAGGACTAGAGAGAATAAGTTTTAGATCAGTCCTTCTTATTCTTCGGTGGTAGAAAGAAGAAGAAGAAAGACATAAGAAAGAAGAAGTTTTTCACTTCACCTGCAAGAATATTGGCCGTTGTTCGTTGGGCTTATGTTCTCAGGCCTTTTGTCGAGTGTTTGCCTGTGCGGTCATCTATACGAATTGTCATATAGGTTTGGAGTTAGAGATTTTAGGCTATACGAAGCGTGGGTACAATTTAGATGATCAGGTTCTGGATATAGATAGTATATTCTAGTGTGCTTGTTCCGTGATGATGTACTCAGCTATGATCTAATATAATTCTTCTTTCGTCTAAAAAAAAAAAGAAATCGTGGTCACAAAAGATTCCTCTCTAGTATGAGAATACACTAGCAATGGGCCCACTCCGCTGCGCCTACTTCACCTTTGCACTTTAGAGCAAGGCTAATAATACAGCCGGCATGTCCATATAGTAGTTAGCTTTTCACTATTAATATATGGCCCACTTATCTCTCACAAAGTTTATCGGTTATGGTGTCTAAGACTCTAAGCTGTCTGTAAGCTTACAGCCCGCTTCTCTTCTCTCTCATCTTCTCTCTTCTTCACCTCAGCATTCAGCCAGCTTACAACGTGCTATTATACTTCCTCTGATCAAGCCGCTTGCATGGCCCGTTATAAGGTAAGAAAAATATCTTATAGCCTTATAGGTGCTGGTGCATGAAACGTCTGCTTGGGAATTACCCGTAAAAACTAATAATTCTTAATTGCTTGATATCGCTGAAGACAGATATCATTTCAGTGGCAAGTATATCAATCAGCAAATAAAATCATGTACTACCAATAAGCAGTATTAGGTCCATGACGGCACAATTGCGATTGGATCACATTAAAGTAAAATGTGGTCTGAAACTACACACATGTGAGACATGATATAGTAACGAAAGAAAAATAGTCCTCTTATTCTTTCTGAAAGAGATCTTTTACGATGGTTGAAATCGCTTCCCATCACCTCCCATCATCTCCGTAAAATAACCATTTTTGTTGATTTACTAGGTAGCGTGTCCGTGTGTTGCTACTGAAATAGCTAACATTTTGTACTTAAAACATACGGATCGCACAAAAAGATAACAATACTGTAAAAATTAAATACCAACATTAAAGTGACATTTAATCCAAAAAGCAAAGTTTGTGCCATTTGTATAACAATATAACACATGTTCAATTTTGATTATGCCATCACACATAGTTTATTAATTTAATAATCTCACAATGTCACACATAGTTTATTAATTTATTAATATCACACATAGTTGATTAGCCATGAAGCTTTTAGGATGAACACCATGCACAAGCAGCCGTATATGCAAACTTAAATATAATACTAGAGTAAATATAAACATGTTACACGACATTATTCTTGATATGTAAATCTAACATGTATAGATGATTTCCAGTTGGCATGTAGTGTGTATACAACATCTCCGTTTAGAGTCTGATAAACCATTTAAAAAATATCTAGGTACAACAACAAATATGGCGGTAGTGAAATAATATTTGTACAATATAAATTGAATGAAAAAAATACATTGTATGCGTTAGTAATGTTCTATTACCTCGCCTATGGCGTTAGAACCTCTTTATATATAATATTCTTCGTGAAAGTTTCATTCCACTATTGAGGTTTTCTTTTCCTTACCTTTTTTATTTGACACATTCTTATTTTTTTTCCTCGGCATTCTTTTTAGCATTTTTTCTCCATCTTTTTGGCCTCCTCCTATGCATCCGCATCAGGCAGGAGGGCAAGGATCTTAATATTCGTTCTTGACGTGACTCTTGACATCGCAACGTACAACTGACCGTGAGAGAACACCGGTGCAGGCAGGTACACACCCATGTTCGGGATAGTTTTGCCCTATGACTTGTTGACCATCATGGTAAAGTTCAGCCTGATAGAAAACTGCTTCCTCTTAAACTGGAACGAGAACATCTCGTCATCAGAAGGGCATAGCGGTATTCGAGGAAGGAATACCCGCTTCCCAGCATGTTGCCCCACCACGATTTCTGCATCGATTGTATTTCTTCAGAACCCCTGCACCACCAGCCTTGTACCGTTGCATAGCCTATTGGCAGGGTCAATATTCCTAAGCAATATGATAGCACACCCGAGCTTGAGCTTTAAGACATGCGGAGGCAACCCGTTGGGGGTCAGACTGTTAAGGAATCCGAAGGATAGTAGTTATGTGGATCATCTATTGCGGAGTCAAAACTATGATACACTGTCTCGCCACCCTGGAATATATCAATCATTTTCATATTGATCATGTCCACCCAATCGTTATGTGTAGATAAAATCGTTCTGGTGGTGATGTAGTCTTTGTCCGCCATGTTTGCATTTAGATCTGGAAAGATGATGCCGATCAATCTATGAAGATCTTTTTCGGCATTGCCAGAGTACGAGACACATATCTCGTCTAGAATACGTACATTGCCATCTCCGTTAACCTCTTCCGTTCCACCACCAATGCGCAACAAATAATCTGCAAACCATGGGTCACTCTAAGCCCTCTTGTTGCGGACGAGCTTCAGGTGGCGCATGGATTCCCAAAGATACAACCTTCATAGAGAAGCACCGACTATTTGAGCCCTAGATCCTTTCCGCACAATAGAGAGGACCTGTCTGAAATCCCCACCAAGGACAACAGTCTTCCCACCAAACGGTAGGTCTAACCGGCCCATTATATCCCGTAGGCTATTGTCTAGTGCTTCTACATTTTGTCTCTTTGTCATAGATGCCTCGTCCCAAATTATGAGAGTTGCTTGCTGCAGCAATTTGGCAGTACCACTCTGTTTTGTGAAGCTACAACAACCGCCCTCTTCAAGAGTGAGGGGTATCTTGAAATGCGAGTGGGCCGTCCTCCCGCCTGACATTATGGACGCTGCGATTCTAGATGTAGTTGTAGCCACGGCA